TATCTCAGTCACAAAGGGACAAATGCTATATGGTGCCACTGTTGTAGAATGAGGCTGACATCGGGATGGGGGGAGGCTAAGAAAAACTGGATGAAATATGTTTACGGCATTGAAGTCTTTGGGGGAGAGAATATTTTATGTTTTAGGGCATTATGTTTATCGTAAGAGTACGGAATGAAGGTTACAGAGTGGATTATATTTGGGGATTGGGGGATGTGTGTGGGGGATTACGTACCAATGAGGGAGTTTTTCTTTTGCGTTTGAAGGAGAGGAGCAAATGGGGGGTGGGGGGTGAGGGGACAGGGATAGGGGTGCAACAATGAATGAATGGAATTCCAAAATCTCTGTAGATGTTCACTGAAGTGAAAAATAAAGAAATTAAATAAAAAAATTTTAAAAAATGATGAGAACAGGAAAAGAATAGGCAGAGAAAACATCCACCCGGCTGACATGCTGAATCCAGACTATCAGCTTCCAGACTGGGAAGATAAATTTCTGTTCTTAAGAGTGTTTCAGTCTCTGCCCAAAGTTCTGCACACTACAGTCTCTTCTGTTTGAACCCTGGGTTGGGCCCACAGCTGCAGAGGCAAGGATCTCCAGATGAAGAGACCTACAACCCCTGGGACATCTCAGTCCCATCTCCCCACAAGCAATGGAGAGTGTTTGCTCTCAGCACAGAAATAAAACCTATCAAATGGGGAAATGATAACCTTTTCATTAAATGGTGCTAGAAGAACTGGACTGCTACCTGCAGAAAGCTGAAACAAATCCACATCTCACACTATAAACAAAAATCAATTAAAGGTGGATGAGAGACCTCAGAATAAAGCCCCAAACCATAAAGCTCATAAAGCCTAGTCTATGGTATAAAGAGGCTACCAAATACAGCCAGAAATACCCAGCCTGAAGAGGATAAAATTGATGAATGGAACCTTCTAAAGATTAAATCACTCTGCTCATCAAAACTTTTTCCAATAGGGTGAAAAGAAAACCTACTGACAGGGAACAAACGTTTGACAATATCATATCAGACAAGGGTCTTATAGTGAAACTTTACCGAATCCTACAAGGTCTCCAGAAGGAAAAGACAGATAACCCAATCACGAAAAGAGCAAAAGACATGCAAAGACTTCACAAAGGAAGATATTTATATGGTCAACAGACACAGGAAGAAATGCTCCAAATCAGTGACAATGAAATGCAAATTAAAAAAACCACAATGAAATACCATCTTATCCCAGTAGCAGTGGCAAAATTTAGAAGGGCATCAAGTAATAAATGTTGGAGAGGATGTGGTGAGATAGGAACTATTTCTTACATATTGTTGGTGGAATTATAAAATGGTACAACCACTTTAAAAGGCAGTTTGGCATTTCCTACAAAAAGCTGAAAATAGAAATTCTATATGACCCAGGTATTCCACTGCTTGGAATATACGCCGAGCAAATGAGAACTGAGGCACAGAGACTTGTACACCAATGTTCAAAGCACCGTTATTCACCATAGCATGGAAACAGCACAAATGCCCAACCACAATGGAATGGATTGAGAAATGGTACATTCATGCAATGAAATCCTATGCATCACTCAGGAGTAATGATTTGGTAGATAATTATATAACATTAGAGGGAGTGGAGAGCCTTATGTTAAGTGAACTAACTCAGTCTCATAAGGAAAAATACTAATACCATTATTTTAGAGTGAGTAAGAAGACCCAAGGAGGCGGCGTGGGCTTAATCAAATGGTCACACAATTTTATTGGGGGGG